AACTTGGCATGGGTAACAGGTTAGGGTTAGGCGATAATTTCTTTCCAATTTTCCTTATTTTAGTCCTATTATCAGTTCGAAGACTAGCCAAGAGCCTCCCGTAGTATTTATACCTAAAATTATGGCCTAACCCTAACCTATACACATATTACATTCCGATGTCCGCCATCTTGGTTCGCATACTTCGGGAGCCCCAACTATTGTTTGTCTCTAATTTTACATGACTAAACACAAGAGGTGCTCATAATTTATTGAAAATGCTATTGTTATCGAAACTTTGACATGAGAGTATTTAGATACTTGAATTGTAATTATACAATTTGATACCATTATTTGAAAACATAACATGAAGATCTTTTATTAACAGAACATTGTTGTGCAAACGTAATATTGTTTTTGATTTGTTTGCAATTATAAAAACAAGGAAATAATAGCAATTATGATAGATTAAGACGACCTGACTGACTTGGTAATGACAATTATCTCCATAAACAACCACCAGAGTATAAAAAATGTAACTGTGAGGGTGAACTTTATTAAGAATGACAGTACTGTGTGATTAGTGTAATATTATCTGATTGGTACAGATGACCTTTTAGATGCTGCATACAATGCTGTCTCGCTGGCCTGATAATTAATTAAGCTTGTATCATATAGAGATTACGAGCAAGAATCGAGTCATCTCATACACCCTTCAAAATTTTTGAAATAAATAAAAGTGATTTCCTTCTAGCAAAAAATACAATCTTTAATCACTGAAAATTTCAAAGCATTTGGTCAGTAATTGAAGAGAAAAGCGATTTTTTTTTCTAACAAGAAGAAAAAAAATACTAACGAAAACAACAACAGTGTAATAATAATAACAAAACACAATCCATGGGTACATTTCGTGTCCTAAAAATATTTCTGAAACCTGACGCCTAAATTATGTATGGAATAAATATTTCACCACACGAGTTTTCGTCCAATATGAACCAGCGATATCACGTTGATTGCGAATGACCACATTATCCATTGACCCCATTCTCGCCATGATTACGAATGATTTTAAAGTTAAAGTCAACAACGGTTTTTAGTAAACGGGAATGGTTTAAAATTAAGTGAAATTCTACGTCTCATGAAACTGAAATTTGCGTAATCAAATTTGCAACAGTTTCGTTAACGTAAACGTTTTTTATTGCTATAAACCTGAATCGCGATACTTAAATATTGTCGACAATGACTCCGTGACGCACACCGTGTTTCACTTACGTTTCAGTTGCTACTATAGCTTGTAAATCACATTTCATGACGTTTATATACATTACTGCCAGACATTCTATTTAAAGTTTATCGTTTCTGTTGCTTATGGAGTATTACAAAGTATGGAATTATACTTTTTAATGAATTTGATATAGGTTTGTGATATTATTTTTCTTTGGAATCATAAGAGTTGGTCAGTCACAAAAATAAATGAAGCCGACTGCTGATGAGTAATTGAATCAATTTATCAATATTTCGGTTTATAACGATTTTCCGTAAAACGTTACTTTTTTACGAGAAGCACAACCGGTATTAGCAAAACGATATTTTGCCGATTTTGCTTTATTTAAATCTTGACGTAAAAATATCTTTTGGCGATCATGCGCTGGTATCTTTCTACCCTTCTACTTCTAATGTTTCCGGCTACACCGATTACACTTGCGGCAATCAGATTCAGGATTGTTCAAGGCGAAGCCGTCCAACGAAATTAAAAACAATTATTACACTTTACGTAACAAGGGTGCAAAAATGCCAGCACTGCTTAGTAGTTTAGACTCAAACTTAACAATTTAAAATGAATAAAATAAGGACACTGAGATAAATCAGGAAGTGAAAACGAGCGGGTTGTATATTTATGAGACATGACTAAAACTGTATTACCCTGAAGCCGCCGGCGTCCCTGTAACTAAAACCATTCTTGTAACGTGAGATCTGCCTAAAGTTATACCGTATTTTACCGACCATAAGGCGCACCGTCAATAAAATGCTTAGAATAGGGTTTTTAGGGCTCTTCAGGCTATTAAGGCGCAACCGGTACTGGTCTGGTATTGAGTGTAGACAAACCGACACAATCGAATTTTAGAAAAAAAAGAGCCTTATGGTCCGTAAAATATGGTACTTTATTGGAAGATTTGCATTTTCTTTTCCTACTGGATATCACTCATGTCTATACATCTAATTTAGCAATCCAACCTAAACCCTAAGCCTAAGACATAGGGTACAACTGTACTTGTGTAGGCGACATACGACGTAAAGCATTACGCTATAGTCCAGCGTTTCCCAACCTTTTTTGGTCGCGGACTATTTTCTCACCGGCGAAAACCTTTGCGAACTCAAGGTGCGTTTATTGCAACCGTACTCTGTGTAAAGCAGCAATAAAACCAAACACAACAGAAAGACCAAACACAACGAATTTAAAAATCGGAAAAATCGTTAAAAGAGCCGACATTTTTGGTGTATAATGGATTTTTCTGTCGCACAGTATTCATTCCATGACAACGACGATAATTTAAAATGTATTTGTATTTTAATTTAATTGTGTTCATCATCGTAACTCGCGATTGCGTCGACTTACGACAAGATGAAAGCATTACTTTTTTAATATTTCCCTGCCATCTGCGAACATAATAATGAAGAATATATTGCCTGAATATATTCAGCTTTGATACATATTTTTTGCGATCTTGCGAATTCGTTATCTCTGTTAGAAAAAATCATACTATCTGCTATAAATTTCCAGAATGTACAACTTAATTTAGTATTTATTAAAAATATATTTGAAGTATATATATTAGTAAATCAAGAATACATATTCATCGCCTTGAAATTCTCGCGAACAACTTTTGAAGTAATCGTCGCGTATACGTCACTCGTTAAAAGAGCCGACCTTTCAATGCTTTTTTCTGTTGCATAAACTATTCAATCCATCCCCATGTGTGATTCCCTTAATCTGCGGTTGTGTTGACGAAATAAGAGCAATACTACTCAGAAAATATCATGACAATCCGTGGACACAAACATGCGTGGTAAAGTGCCCGATTATATCTTGTTTTGACTCGTATTTTTGTGAATTCGACAAATCTGTGTGAATTCGACATTACTACTGTGCGTACCAATCTGGAGGCAGTAAAGCAGAGAATCCTAAAGGAAAATGCCCTGGTACGTATACTACGGTAGCACCCGAAATTTTGCGATTTGCAATGTCTAAAAAGCGTTTTTAATCGGTCGCGGACCGCTTTTCAATTTAGAAAATTTGGGTTGTCATCATTTACACCTACCAGAAATTTTTTTTATTCCTCGTTGTTCAAACTCGCGAGGAACACCTATTACGTGTACAGACTCTTGTTTTCGTTAGAAATCCACAAGTGAGTTGTGAAATCCAATCGTTTGATTAAGCGACTCGCAAGTGACCTGTCGCGTCACATGTTACCAAATTTTCGATTAGTAAATATGCTATTCTAATAGTTGAATATTCGAATATATGCCCAGCCCTACTCAGTAACCAGTAATTATTGACGCGATTAATGTCATGTGAATAAACTGACTTTTCATGTTTTTTTTGTAAATTCAAACGCAAATCCTAACTTGGCTGATAATTAATTAAGTTTCGCAAAAACGTTTACGGCCCGCAGTGAATTTCTGACTCGTTGCGGACTCATTAAAACGCTCTGCGGACTCATTTGAGACCGCGGACTGGGTTGGGAAAAACTGCGCTATACACTATAGTGGCACAACTAATCATTTTGCAGCATTATAGTATTAATGCATGTGATGTTTTTACATTAAATTTTAGTAATACGACAATGGACAAGAGAGCGATGCTTAAATAAATGGATACAAAGACCAAAACAAAGTGATACGAGTATAAAATCTTTCACAGTAGCTTACTAGCACCGCTTGACCACCAAATAGCTAAGGCGAACACGGAACCGCCACAGAATGCGCAATTTTTAATTTCTACGACGTCAACGCACAAAATAAAGCGAAAAATAAAGCATAACATTAGAGCTCACAGAAATTTTTGAAATCAATACATTTTAGCTTTCTATAGCAAAATACAATCTTTACCCATTGAAAATTTTAAAGCAATTGGTCTAGCTCAGATGTCGGCAACCTACGGCCCGCGGGCCGGATCCTACCCGCGGAGCACTGTAATCCGGCCCGCGACGCTTCACTAAATTATAGTAACAAAACAGCCGTTTTGACGAATACATTCTTTAGACTAAATTATATTATAACCTAACAATTATATATTTCACAATTACTCGTTTAATGAGCATATAATTTAATCATAATTGAGCTAATGGCAACAAAACGCAGAAAAGTTGATGCTAAGTGCAAAGGGTTCAATGGCTCTGAAAATATTCAAATGAAATTTCATGAGATGCAATGAGGAAATAAATCTATATTCTATTCGAGAGATGTAACACTGCATGAATTTTATTATAAAAAGTACCATCCGTTCGATTTTTCAACTTTCTGAAAATATGTGCGGCCCGCCAAAGACTTGAAATCTTAATTTTGGCCCGCGAGTGACAAAAGGTTGCCGACCCCTGACCTAGCTTGTGGGAACCGAAAAAAACGAATTTTTTTTCATAACAACAACAAAAAGAATTCGAACAACAACAACAACATAACCATTTGCCTAAAGTTTTATATATATCACAACCCAGAACATACCTTGAACCCCACTCCATATGCATACTCTAACCATTTGCCTAAAGTTTTATATATATCACAACCCAGAACACACCATGAACCCTCTCTTCATATGCTTACTTTAACCCTTTGCCTAAAGTTGTATTTATATCACAACCCAGAACATACCTTGAACCCCACTCCATATGCATACTCTAACCATTTGCCTAAAGTTCTATATCTATCCCAACCCAGAACATACGATAAATCCCACTTCAAATGATTACCTGACAAATTGCTCAACGTTTCATATGTATCTCGACCCAGAACAAATACACAAATCACATTTTTTATACGTTTTATTGCAGTATTCTCCGTATAAACAATATTTCTATGTACTTTTTAGTATCGAATACACAAATAATGATAGAAATAAATGTCGTTCATTTGTCTTATAAAATATCATAGGGTTTTGAATAGGGTTTGTATTATACTAACCACACAATTGAAAATGTTAGCATTAAACATCGCAACAAAGCTATACTAAAGCAACTAATGTCCATACTAAATATTATTGCATGTAAGAGACACATATATGGCTGAGTATGAGCAAAGAACGTAGGTGTTGTCATGAAAAACAAAGACAATTGATCCTATAAGTAAACAGATCAAATGTGTTAATTAGTAAATCAAATCCTATATATTTGCCACGAAAATCCACCAGACCCAAATCATGGAATCTGAATATTCTATTGGACATAAACACTGTAAATATAAAATAATCAGCTTGGTATCATAGACAAAAACGCAAGATTTTAAAAACCGTTTTCCCTTTTAATTTCACGAAATAGTAAAGACTGAGTAGTCTGGACTTCACTGTGGGAACAATGATATAAATATTGGAAGACACAATAAAATTGACGTCATAATAAAGGTGATGTCACATATCAATGAAAATGACATCATATTAAAGGTGAGGTCACATAACACTAAAAATGACGTCATAATAAAGGTGAGGTCACATAACAATAAATTGACGTCATAATATAAAAACGAGAGCATATTACAAGTGAAATAAAAAGCATATCTTTATATGAGCCTTTAGGGATACATGATACTGTTTATATTTTCCTGAGGGAGTATTTCATGCGTTCTCTCCCAATAGGAATATAGAAGAACAAGCACCAAAGTTAAATTTCAACCTCATTTTCACCTGCTTAGGTTTTTTTTGTCAATAATACCAAGTCTATAAGCATAATATTAATGATGGATTTTCGTGGGAAACCCAAAGTCCGTCACCAGTCTTCGTCTACTTTCCTTCACATGTATTAGAGCAGAACTTGCTAAGGACTTTATCTATCAATTCTTTTGTAAGACCCTCCATATCACTGATTATTATCTTATTGTCATCAGTTCCAGCGATTATGTCAACTGTTTCACCAACTTTCGGGCCAATCGCAAGTGCGAAAGTCTGAAAATTTAAAAAAAAATCAATCACAAAACATCTTTAAAAAAAAATTATGGTGGGGTTACTAAGAACTACTAAAGCTATATGAATGACGTCAATGCTTTTTTTTCGGTATGGAATTTGCCACTCCAGAAGTGTGTGTACCAATATGGAGATAACTAATTTTGTTCGCTCACTTCACATCAGTGACCCAGGTATTATTGCCCATTGAAATAAAAAGCACCCTCACTCAGACGTACTTATCTCTGGGCAAAGTTTTCCTATCTTATATTTCTATTATTTTTTGTTACATCAATTTCCAGTGGTTTCAGATATTTTCATATCAGTTGTAAAGAAACTTAAAAGAATGGTAATTACATCAACTCCTCCATCTCTAATGGCTTTTATCTCCGCCGGAAGATCCTTAACGTCAGTGGCTGCTCCATCAGTCACCACTAGAATTGCGTCTGAAACACCTTCTCTTCCGCTTGGCAAAACCTCCTTGCGGACGTATTTAATAGCCGCTGCAGTGGCTGTTTCTGAAAAAGAAGTTTTTACCATTATTGAAACGAAGTGGACATATGAGTCGATTTGTTATGTTTAATTGTTGATGGCAGTTCTATTTAAATTAAGATTCTTGCTGCACACTAACACAAATGTATTTCCGGAACGTATCATCTGATCGTGGTCAGACTTCTTCAGACAAGCATTTTACAACTGTGGAAGAAACGCAATTGCATACACATAAATAATGGTATCAAATGTTGGGTCTGTTTTCGATAAAGAGAAATAACTAATATTGGGACAGTGCCAGAACAATACAAAAGCAACACAAAAATTTGGATCATAATCATTGAATATTTTCCGCTGCCAGAGTTTTTCTTGTTGTTGTGGTTGGTATTGTGAGAAAATCACTTTTGTCATTACCTACTGGGTAAATTGCTTTGAATATTTCAGTGATTAAAGATTGCTTTTGTGGATAAAAGCCTATTACTTTGATTTATTTAAAAGTTGTTGTGGGATCTTTATCCCATTTCAAGTCATCAAAATTAAAAAATGCGCACCGTGTGACGGTTTTGCAATAATTATACCCATTATAAGTATTTGTAAAAGTCAAAATATAAAAAAAATAGAGGTGGATTTTACTGTAGAAACTTGTAAAGGCAGGAATAGAGGTTAAAAAAACTCTGGCAAAAGAAAACACTACAACTAGGGCTGAGCATTTCTTAATACTAATGTTTTCAGAATCGAATCGAATCTCGAATACTTGGAAGATGTCTAATTGTACTTGTCCACACACTCAGTGTCCACACATAATAATAACCATGCCTCATCAATGACTTGCTGGTAAGATAATAGTCAGCTTCACAAAAAGATTGTTGAATTCACTTTAATTCAAGATGGCGGCGATTCAAAATTATTGTCTAAACCGATTCTAATAATTTTGAATTTGATTCGATTCTAATATTCGAGTCTACATCCACTAAGCCCTCCACAGCAAAAGCTTGATATACTCACTTCCGCCAGGTCCATCGAAACCTAGGATAGCTTTCTTAATCCCTGCTTTGTTTCCAATATATTTATCGAGTAAAATTGTGTCTTCTTTTACAACCACAGTGTTGAATCTTACAACACCAAAATGGAATCCATCTCCCTTGAAGCCACTTCAAAACAAAAATAGCAATTTAGCAGTGTTCCCCAGGCCCATTTTCATGAATATAAATTTTTTTTAAAAATATCGATGCAAACAACGAATCGTCGGCTAAAATAAATATGTAATTCTCCACATTTAAATATAATGTGCATAGCGATCCACATGTATGTCATACTAATCCTTCCAAATGAGCATTCGTGAGTATTAATACTTATGCCATTTTGGTACACTAGATTTTTTTTTGTAAATAACTGTTTAATTATTCATAATTCCATAGTGAGCTTCCGGACCGGTAACCAAGTCTATTATCTGTAACTGGCCCATTCCAAAAAAAAATTGCCCACATCTGCGCTATAGAAAATAATAATAAATAGGACACATATGTACACTATTGCTCAAAAGCTCTTATCAAATAGTATAGTTAAACTCACTCAATCAAATCGACAAGGAAGTTCTTCATTTTCGAATAATAGTCGGGACCGTTTTTTCCGAGTGGGTTAATTGATCCCGAAGAATCCATGACGATTACGAGATCCATTTTGGCATCTTTGTCACACGTCACTGAAAACATTAAAAATTTTTTTATTAATGCCATGACGACAACAAATGGCTGTAGCGAATTGGTGAAATATTGTTGGTTAGTGTGTGCAATTTGACTACAATAGAATAGTTTGAAGTTTTATTTCATTGCATTGGATGATATATTTTCTGAAGTTCAGCACGGAACGCTATTTTGCAAAATGCTTTGTATTTCATATGAGAAAAAAGTTTTGAGATAGAAGTTTTTTGCAATATTTAAGGACTGATAAAGAATAGAAACAGGTTAGGTTGATAAAATGCTACAAATTTAAACTTGGATTTTATAACCGCGTCGTTCTCAATTTGGCGTTCAAACACCGCCACTCCAAGCGAAGCAAAAGCGAAGTAGCCATTTTAGAATGTCCAAAATATTCACCATAGCATATTGCCTTAAACGGGGATGGCTACAATATGGTGGCATAAAATGTGTTCTCGGCGACATGTTGGTCTAAGAATTATCGACAGTAAAGTACTATATCAGTAATTAAAGACAGTGACTAATATATTTTCAGATCTTATATTTTTTTTTATTTTGGATTCATTTAGATTTGTTAGATTTTTAAGGTCAGCCTTCATTCAATTTCACGATAAATGAATATTTATTATAAAACATGAACGAAGTTCAAAACTACGCCGTTCAAACTCAAACTATAGTTGGGAGAAAAGTTTCGCTAATTTCGTTACTTATTACTAAATCTAACTTTTAATGATAAACGGTACCTTTTCCGCAGCACGGTAATTGGTTTGTCCAATGTAACTCTGTCTTTAAACCGACTTCAGTACTGACTAAACTAGCGTTGCACATTGTGTAATTTTTCCATCCTGGAATCATAACGTAGCCATCGTCGCATTTAAAATCGCATCTGGTTCCTTCAACGAATTTTGTCTTTGGTTTGCAACTCATCTTTCCGTTCTCAAATTCATTCCATTTCTCGCATTCTTTTGGTTCTATAGGAAACGAACAGTTTAGTGTTAACTTAGTGGTCTCCTACCCCCCCCCCCCCCCCCCCCCCCCCCCCACTAAAATTTCGAACACCCACCTCCTCGCTAAGTTGGACGTGTGTCCTTACACAAATTTTCTCTCTTGCTAATTTTTACATGTGTCCCTACACCAAATATCAACCACCCCTCGAAACTGGACAGATGAACTGAGCTTTCTTCTAATTTTTACGCTTTTTATATCTTCAGTTCTAAACAAGGTTCTCTTCAAGCAGCCACTGATTTAGGTCAATGACCCGGGACTTCCTAACACAAGTATTATCAAATTTTTACACGCGCATAAAATACGGTAAAAATTGTTCACTTACCTTCACAAGTTGGGGGCTTAGCACTCCATGTTCCATCAGCCTTACATATCGCATTTTTCTGTCCTTTCATATTAAAACCATCGTCGCATTCGAAGTCGCAAACGGCTCCTTCAATTAATGATTTGTCCGGTTTGTCGCATTTGACTGTACCGTGGTCTATTGTTTCAGGTTTTTCGCAAGTTTCTGTTCAGTAAACAAAAGTGATTAATATGTATGAATATTTATTTGTAAATATTGTTCAATATGTTAGTATAGAATTTTTGAACAATGACACAAAAGACAATTCATTGGATTCATTGGGAGGTAGTTTCGAAATTTATAATTGCCAAGTCAGACCGTAGCAGCTGGAGAGTCTTCAAGGGTCTTGGTGGTCTAAAAAGCGTTTTGAGCTACATAAAAATTCTATGTATGATAAAGACTTTTTTTCACATTCCAAAACATGGTACCCCCGTAGTATCTGTACCGGTTAAGGTTGAGCCATAAATATATTCCGATTTTCCTTATTTTAGTTCTATTACGAGTTTGGGAACTGTCTGTGCTAGCCGAGTGAATACACCTCCTGTCCGGTCGCTTCACCCAGCTTGATGTAAAGCAGGCGATTAAAATTAGTTACCTCCATATTGGTACACACATGAAGTACCATTTGTTACAACGATAATCTTACTTACTTTTGCACGTTGGTGCCTTGTGGCTCCATTCTACGACACCTCTGGCTGTTTCTTCACAGACTGTATTCTCTGAGCCAATTAGCTTATGTCCACTCTTACATTTGTATTGACAGATTGTTCCGGCGGTTGCAACGACGTTATCGCAATCAACAAATCCATCTTCTGGTTTCGGGGGGTGTGGCGTGCATTTTGCTGTTGTATAAATATTGCGAGATTTAAAATTGTGAAATTTAAGACAAAATGGCGAATGTTGAAATTTCAAAATAATTTATTCCAGAATAGTACATGAAAATGAGTAAGCTGGTATCGAGTCGTAATTTGGAGCAATATTAACCCAAGTATTTCAAAAAATTGTTACAGAAAATAAAAACAAAATTTCTCAAAACAACTTTTTTCGAATTTCTTCATTTTGGGTTTTAAGTCTCGATATAAAGCTTACACGAAACTCATCTCATATTCATTATTCGCTTTTTGTTTTCTATTAGACGTGTGTCTTTGATATGCCGATTTGGTGAGTTAGCGGTCTATATGTAGTGGATTTATGAAAACGTATAAAAAATATCTCACGTATGCATTTTGGTTCTTTTTCACTCCACGTTCCAGCTTTTTCGCAAATCGTCTTGGTTTTCCAACCATTTCGTATCCTTCTTCACATTTAAACTCGCATTTTGATCCCACGATTAATTTATCGTCACATTTGATGGTACCATAGGTTGGAGGATCTGGCTTTTTGCATTTTTCTGTTATATAAGATTTTAAGTCAGCATTTCTTGTAGTTAAATTGTACTCGACCTAATTAAATTTCAGAACTTTATCGAGACATTTAAATAAATGTTTCAACAGAAACTCGGCTACCGATTCAAGTTGGAAAGAAAATTTTTGATTTTTTTTTTTTTTTTTATTGTCATCGAAAGTTTGAAATTCAGACTCAGTCTAGGAGTAACACCAAATTTTGGACTCCGACCTTCACCTCCGGAGTTTAAAAACACGAACTCCGAACTCGAACTTCGGATGTAGTGAAAATACACCAAACTACAGATCCGACTTAGTATCCCCGGTTTTGACTCCTATAGTGTCGAATCGATTTGTACCTAAGACTGGGCATTTTGAATTGAATCGAATTGTAAATTTGAATTTCGAAATTAATTTCGAATCTCCGCCATCTTGTTTGTTGTATGGCGGATTTTATATTTTCATTAATTTATTTATCTGGAGGATCCATTGCATTAAAAAGCCACATTTAATTATGTATCTTCCAAGTATTCGAGCTTTGATTATATTTCAAAAAAAAGAAGTTTTTATTCTGAAATCATCAGATGTTTAAAATGCCAAGCCATACTTGTAACTCGAATTTTTTAAATTATTTGAATTTTACTCTAGACTTAAATCTGCTGTGACTCGCTCGACTGTGACTCGCTTCGACCCTGGCTTTAAGGCATGTGCCGTATATAATAATAAGGATTTTTTGTACAAAGCCACCACCACCAATTCAAAATGTAAAATTTGAGAAAAGCACCCCCGCCATGTTTTTAAAACAACAGGGTCAAAGTAGGGGTTACGAATGATTTAAAAAAAAAATGAACCTTTAATGTAATCTGCATTTCTAACCCTAACTTAATAATTACTAATTTGCTATTTTTAATTGTTGATGGTTATTTATTTAGCGGGGTCTCGGTACAAAGGATACAATATTAATTATTCTATGAAATTCACGAGTCTTGTTGCACAACTAACACAAATATTCAAGCTTGCTATGGCCAAGTAAGACTTCCTAATATATACATCAAAGTTAGTATGTAGCAAGACTTTAAATCAGGGGTGTGCAACCTTCAATTAAAGAAGGCCAGATTTTAAATAACTGGGTGGAACCGCTGGCCGTACCTTTATCGAACATAGGTTTTATAGTAGCTGTAGGCACAAAAAAGTTGTAACGTCATAGACATAAATATTAATTGCACTTAGGCAGGGGCTTTGCAACGCAAAAGAATTAAAAATATATACACGTACTAGATTAAACTAAATTAAAGACTCGCTTTGCGGGCCGCACACAATTCAAAATTCGCACTTCTCCGCGGGCCACCCATTTTATTTGTGGCCCGCATTTGGCCCCCGGGCCGCAGGTTGCAAACCCCTGCTCTAAATCATTTAGGGTAGGCATTTTCCCTTGCTACAGCATCATTGTATTACACGCATATGAATCCACTGATACAAAAGCATAGAAGGAAAAGAAGTAGTCGGTAGTTTAGGACCCAATCGATATTGATAAATGTAATCTTTTTTCACTTACTGGTACATATTGGTGCCTTATGGCTCCATTCAGCTTTTCATTGGAAATTTTCTTGCAGATTGTTTTCTCTGATCCCTGGAGCGAGTATCCAACCTTACAAGCAAAATCACAACGAGTTCCGATTATTGCTTTTTCGTTGTTGCATTCAACTTCGCCATTGATTGGTCCTGGTGGTGGGTGTGGCTTGCAAAGAGCTGCGTAAAAAAGTTTGGTGAGGATTTAAACCTCACTATTTGATTCGTATACTACTTTAGCTTTTAGGTCTGTATCAAAAACTAATATATAGGCGCAGCAAATTAAATGGCGCCCAGAAGTATGTGTACCAATATGGAGGTAGCTAATTTTGTTTGTCCGCTTAACATAAAGTTGTGTAGAGAGACTGAAGCCCATAAGTAGGGCATATAATCAATTGGCTAACACAGACAGTTCCCAAATTCGTAATAGAATTAAAGTAGAGAAATCGGAAACAAATTATGGCCTTATTGAATACCGCAGTAGATACTGCAATGTTAGGAATGCAGCTGAAATCTATTCAATCCGTTTTAATATTCCAGTACTGTTGTTTTAAACCTTTTTGGTGAAACAGAACCTTGATGTGATATTTCAGAGAATCAAGAAACCCCTGCGCAAATTTTTTATGTATATTTGATCTATATAAAATATTTCAATCAAAAAAATGCAAAACTACAATATGACGTAGCACGCTTGAGGGTCTTTTACGTAACACCTGTGAAATTCACTTATTATTTGACTATTTACACCCGTGTATTTGATTATAATGTCGTTGTTCAAAATGTCGCAGAACCGGGATCTATAGCGTCGATTTGTGAAGAGTGTCACGTCTGATCAGCAATGACAATCCCGTTTCGGAGAGAAATCTGATTATATTTAAACTATTATACATATAATAATAATATATACTTTCGGATATGATTGTAAACTTGTGGAAACGCCTTGCGTTGAAGTTAGAGTTGGGATTAAAAATGATTCAAATATAGAAATTTTCAGCGCAATTTGCATTCTTAACCCGAACTCTTACTGAATATTTACTAATTTTCCTAATTGGAGCATTGGCGGAGAATTTGTACAAAAGATCCCACATCAATAAAGTAAAATACCTATAAGGTCTCACATAGGGTAAATACTTCACTTACGTTCGCATTTTGGTGCCTTTTCTGACCATGTTCCGTCTCTTTCGCACTCGGTTTCTGTTTTCCCAACAACTTGATATCCTTCGTTGCATTTGAATGTGCAAGATGAACCGACGATTAGTTTGTTGTCCAAGTTACTGCATTTTACGGTACCGTAGTTTGGCGGAGGAGGCTTTTTGCATTTTTCTGTAGGAAGAAATAATACGGTGTTAGGATTGAATACGTTGTATTAGTGTGAGTCGACTTGTTTTGAAGAGAAAAATATATTTAAAATGGATATAAGTATTTTGTTCGATTCCGTTGTCTATTGGTATTAGATTCAGTCGCTCGTTCAGTCGTGATACGCGCATGTAACAAAATGATTCATTGTATAAATATAAAATCAAAAATAATTCTGATTGCGTATTAAAAAGATAAATACAACCGTACAATACGAGGAAAGGCATAGCGTTCTATTTTGAACATGTTACGTTGATCAATGAATACAAGGTGTCGATAAAGTCCTGTTACAAATTCAATTTTGTTATAAAGTCAGTTCTCAATATATCTTAACCAGGTGTGTTTTTTAATCAGTAATTGTTTGAGTATTTTCCCTTCATTTAATACATCTGTGAGAGCCAAAACAATATATGATATCGATAAATTTCCTTTGCAATTTTAATTTTTTAGACTTCATTGACTCCCTATATTAGGATGACTACAACCGTACAATACACAAAAAGGGCATGGCGTTCTAAGACAATATTTGCAACACAACGTTTTCAACATTGTGGTTTCCTATTATTTGTGTTTGATTTCAATATTAATTTTTATTGAAAATTTTGAAGCTTTTCCTAAGAAAAAGGATATTTAAAGGCTCTGATTTTTGGCTGATTGCTGTTACGATGTTGGCTTCAATTTAAAGTTTCTATTGTTAGAAGGACTGTTTTGTTGTGATTCCACATTGTCCGTCTAGGTTAAATAAGGCGGTGGGCAATGAGTTTTAACTCGATTATAAATAGGTCTATTCTTTAATGGTCGACCATGCTACAAAGCAAAATTAGTATGCTTTTGGATCTCCAGAAGTATGTGCACCAAGAAGGCGCACAACCTGAACATAGTATGTTTACCAGGTTAGGGTTCAGGCTGTGCGCCATCTTGGTGCAGATACTTCTGAAGCGTACTTTTTTTTAAAAGACATAGTTATTTACGTTTAGTCAGTTGCCACCTTTCCAGTTGTTCGTAAAATATCACCAAACAGTTGCAAAAACGTGGAAAAATTGTGAAACGTTTAGCAAGGTATATTAGAGCGCGGTATTTTCACTATTGGGAATAAATTACCAGGTTGACTTACTGACACATTTCTTGGCTTCTTGGCTCCATCTTGCACCTCCCTTTCCATCTTCTTCACAGACTGCGTCCTCGGGTCCTTCGAGCTGAGAGTCTGGTTTGCAAACGAAGTCACATTTCGTTCCAATGTCTGCGGTATCGCTATCGCAATTTACAGAACCTCCAGTCGGCGGTGGGGTGGGTTAGGATCACATTTGGCTGTGAAAATAAATAATTCATATAAATATAAGTTTGATAAATCTTGACTGTCCCATTCAGAGGCGTAGCCAGGAGATTTTGGGGGTCGGAACCCCCACTCTTTCGAACTGTAAAAAAAAGGATTTTTCTTGTCATGCATAGCAATTTTTAAACGCTTTTTAGACCAGTTTTCTAGCGAACTAACTCGGAAATTAGAAACTTCAGACTTTCTGACTTCCCTTTCTGTCGGGAGGGCCCAAAGAATATTTGACTCAACTAGAATGCAATTCGATTCACCATTTATCAAAATCTTGAAGTCACACAAGTCATCTAAATTATATAACTGTAGCTCATCATCAACTCAAGTCAGTGGTTGATTAGATTAAACCTCAGGGATTAGAGAGTCTTTCCCAACATTAGTTTATTCTATAATTCCTCACGTTTCCCATGCTAGGGGCTTCATTCATTTCATTGAATAATTTTTGAGTACTGGTTGAAACCCTGCCCTCTCCCCAATTCCGTGTTATTATTTCCATTTACTCATTATTATTCTATGCGCGAAGATTGCAAGATTATTTTGGACCACAATCTATCTTATTCCAAATTGCCATAATCTTCTCAATTATTTCCAAATAATGTAAAAAAAATATAACTTTGAATGATTGTGTATAATTGTACCCAAAAGTTTCAGTAATCTATGACGCTTTCCACGAAAGCTATGTTGTCTCTGAAATATGTTCCAAACGACCTGGTAATTGGTAGACCCTGCATTTCAATATTCAATGAACAATCTTATACTCACGTGGTGGCGGTGGCGTAGTTGGTGGATCTGTTAATTAAAAAATTAATTAATTAATTAAAAATTCCAATAAATCTGAAATCTTTGTGTAACGTTGGTAAAGCAAATCTAACGCTTTATGTCAGGGGTGTGCGTCCTTTAATACAGGAGAGCCAGGTAGAAATAACTGGGTGAAACCGCAATATATCTGTTGGCATTATAAATTCGTATACATACTAGGTATAGGCTTCGCAACGCAAAGCGATTAGAATTACCCGCACATATCAGATTAAATTAAAAACTAATTTCGCTGCACTTCATTCAAAACTAGCATTTCTCCGCGGGCCGCACAATTTTTCCTCGAGGGACGCATTTGGCCCGCGGGCCACAAGTTGCACACCCCTGCTCTATGTGATACAGAAACAATAAAAATAGCAGGTTTTAATTAAAGAGGTTTTGAAATGTAATTTAATATGTACTAACTGAGAATTGCCCACTATTGGATGTTCTATAGTCTTTTGAATTTTAGTTTTATATTGCTATAAGTTATAGTGTAATTTTGAACATTTTCACCTTATATAATAGGGACGCGTTCAAATGCTGACTCGCTATGACCTATAGCAGTGATCAAACGTAATACAGATGCAACTTTGACTTTCTAAATATTCTCACATGAGCTATTTTGATATTTCTGTGACGAAGTCCACAGTCCCCCGGTTGGGAGCTGCTGCTTCCCAAAATAAAGATATCAAAATCTACTCACAATGAGGACATGAGAATTTACAGATTTTCCCAACGATTCGGCCTCTCAATTCCTCTTTGAGCGATTCCATTCCTTTGACTTCGATGACGTTATCAGGGTTGCCAGTTATTTCTTCTAGTTGTTTAATGGATAACGGTTCTCCAGGCTGTTTGATTCCAAGTGCGATGATCTTGAAAATGAAGGAGGGAATAATAATTTATCTATTTGCAATTACTGTCGATGTACCTACTGAACAAAAAAATTTATGCCCAAAGTTTTTTTTCGAAGAACTTCAATTGTGTGGAAATCCCTATACATCATGGGTGTTTTTCTGACCATTTGACAAGAGCTGCTTGATGTATCTTATTATTGAATTTATCGATATTGATCATAGCGCAGCTTTACGCCACAGTTCTCGAAAGTTACTCTTATAACTTTAGTGGTCGTCGATAAGTAGATCAGAAATCAAGCTTTTGTATGTCTGATTGATTGAGTGCTCGGGACCTTGCTTTTAGGCGGTTTTTTATTGAAAAAATAGTGGTTTTCCTCTCTCACCTAACTGTATTAGACATGGCAGTTTGAAAATATCGTTATCTAATCTGTCACATTCATGGAATTTCGTTTCAAATTATTCAAGCCCTCAAAAACGACATTGTTCGCGGTGGCCTAGCAGTTTTAAAGTCTGATCATGTTGGCATCGTCATTGGAATTTCTCATGCATAAAACTTTTTTTAAGTGGAAAGCGTGAAAACATAGCATAAAAGCATAAAAAGTTATAAACATCTTTCAATACCTCAACTTTTTGTTTTCTGAGTAATCTTGCCGCTTTCTTGACTGAATCTGTCGCGTCTCCATCCGTTATTACCCAGACCATGTCGGGCACTTTGTCTCTGTTGTGGTGTCTCAGCATTGCCGTCCTTGTGTAGGTGAGAGCAGCTCCAAGAGCAGTTTCTGTGAGGTTGAATAATAGCTTGGGTATTTGTTTTCAACAACCGTTTCACGTCTTCACTAAAAGCAAAGCTTAACTACACGTGGCCTTGTGGTTCAACATTTGGGCTTTTCTGATTGGCACCGTAGGTCAAAAATTTCCAATTCAGATTCCATGCCCAGCTTATCGCACAGGGTCTATTTAACCGAGTTGGTCCCTATATTATTTGATGAGCATCTCTTATGAAGATATTAAGCGGAAATGTGGCTTAAATAAATACTTTTTAATAGAAATGTATTGTAGAGCATAATTCTAAAACAGTCTACTCAAAAATTAATGTGAAATATAAAATTGCAGCTTGCACACCCCTGTTCAAGTAATAGATACGAACTTACTTCCTCCTGGACCTGGAAGTAGCTCGACCTTTTCCACCATGTCAGATATGCCATACTCTCCAAACAGTATTTTGTTTCTGGTGTCCACATTTGTTGCAAATCGGACAGCTGAGAATTGAACCTTGTCGTCTTCAAAAGATCTGGAAATTTTAAATTAATTTTATTACATATTTCTAGAGTGCCAGTGGTTCTCAACATTTATTCTTCTGTGGCCCACTTCTGTGGCAAAAAACATATCTGTGGCACACTACTTTTCTCATGCGGGGGAAAAACTACAAGAAAAAAAAAAAATTCTATTTTTCAAAGATAGACACTTCAACGTTTATAATTAAAAAAAAGAATTACCAGGGCTTCTTTATTTTAAAATAAAATTTTGTCTTGCGCAAATACAATACCCCAAACGGCAAGGGACATACCTGCTTAGTTGAAAGTTGAGTAGACTTTAATATGAACTAAACGCGTGTTTTGAGAATTATTTCCTACCGCTTGGTCTGGCCGCTAGTCCAGAGTAGAGGTAAGATCGTGCCCAAAAATTCCAGCCCAACCCGGCCCAGGCCCTTGGGTATTAAACCCGACTCGACCCGAGCCCAACTAATAAACTGTAAAGTAGGCGAACAAAATCAGTCACCTCCATATTGGTACACACACTTCTGGAGCGCCGTTATTTGAGCAGTTACGGCGTTTACTTTACTAGGCTCGAGATCTGGGATGCTTTCGGTTCTTTAAATAAATACTAGCTTTTTATCGGACAGTAGCCGCTAGTCCAAAGTAGAGATAAGTTCGTGCCCCAAAATTTTAACCCTGCCCGACCCAGGCCCTTGGGTATTGAACCCGACTCGATCCGAGCCCGACTAATAAACTGAATTTGCAGGCCCGAGACCGAAGCAAACCTGAAATTTCACATTTTATTTAGGAGTTCTTTGAATTGTCATTGCAAAAGTTTGGTACAATCTATGTCGTGTTGATGAGGCAACTTCTATTTTTTTCAGACCACGGTCTCTCGTTGCCAAAACGCTTCATTTAAAATAAAAGAAAGCGCCGTGTAGGGAAAATGATCACACCAAACTCACCCAATAACGTTTGCTATGAAGTGCTTCATTTTTCCGTAGTCGGTTCTCGTGATTGAACCAGAAGAATCGACAACAATCACAATATCAGCGGCTTTGTCGCACTCTGAGAATTATGAACAAATATATTTATACAGAGGGCAGTCGGATAGGTGCTCCGAAGTATGCGAACCAAGATGGCGGACATCGGAACGTAGAATGGGTAACAGGTTAGGGTCAGGCCATAATTTTTTTCCAATTTTCCTTATTTTAGTCCTATTATCAGTTCGAAGACTAGCTAAGAGCCTCCCGTAGTATTTATACCTAAAGTTATGGCCTAACCCTAACCTAGTACACATATTACATTCCGATGTCCGCCATCTTGGTTCGCATACTTCGGGAGCCCCGTCGTATATAGTGTATTGAACTGAGCGCCTTCCGCATTATCTATCGTATTTCACGGGACATAAGGCTGCTGGGCTACGAAAACATTTTCAGATGGGCCACAAACATATCAAAATTTACGAGAGTTGTTGATAAATTAGTTAAACTTCGATTGTAGTAGCAATGAATGATAATGCTGTACTAAGCTACTAAATGGTAATGCTTGTATTAATTATGTTTTGTTATGTTTTCTTTTTTCCCTTGATTAGAAAGTTAATAGGCCTCAGAGTTTTTGTGCAACGGAAGTGCGCACAAGAGAAAAAAGGTTGAGAACCGCCGGTCTAGACAATAAAGCACTATCCGACCATACTGATTGATTTTTGAGAAAGTGCGCCCA